TCAGTGCTAGATGATGCTGGTTATTGAAGTCCATGGTGCACTCTGAATGTGGTTGTTTTCTTGCAGACGTTTCATTACCCAACTGGGTAACATCATCAGCATGGGGAATTCTGGGAGTTGAAATCCACCGGTCTTAAAGTTGCCAAGTTTTGGATACACTTGCCTTCAAACTTAAGAGAAACTTTTCAAAGCAGAGTTTAACTTAGTCTTGCAACTGTGCTTCCTATGGTCAGTGGAAGGGTATCGCTTTTTTCCTGTTCTGTAATTAACATTGTAAGCCCACTTCCCTGGTGCCTGGAAGTGTTCATTTTTTATTTATTCCTGTATTCAGTTTCTATAGCCACTCATTTCAATAATTGATTCTGGCTGGTTTACAATTCCCAGCGTATAAAAACGATAAAAATCATTTTAAAAACAATAAAAGTTCTACTTGTCTCTAGAAGAGCTAGACTAGATCAAAGGTCCACTTCACACAGCTGCCTGGTAACAGAATAACAGAGTAGGAAGGGAAATTGGAGATATTCTAGTTGGACACCACCCTCACCCCCCGTTTAAGATTCTATATGATTCTGGACAAACGGCTGTCCAATTTTTTCTCAAAAACCTCCAGCAATGGAGGTAAAAATTTATGTTGCTAAGAGAGACAGTCATTCAGTGAAATTTGTCCCCTTTTACAATTTTTCTTGCCACCATTGTTAAGTGAATCCCTGCAGATGTTGGTGAAAGCAAGCCAAATAACCATGGAGGGCTGGTGTCAACTCGTAAATCATTCCTATGCCAGTTTTCGAGTTGCCATAAGCAAGGCGGGGAGGGGGGAAATATGAAGGAGAAGTGGGGCAGTTTAAAACCAGAAGTACATTCCACACTTATCTTACAAAGATTGTAGCTAGGCTACCTGATCTTCTGCCCTCGAAAATCCTTCATTGGAGAATCTGATTGATGACACACCCAGGGGAGAAGGGGGAAACAGAGTCACAAGTGACTGTAAATTACTTATGCCAGAGTTGGCTTCATTTAGGTTAATGCCGGACACAGGGGTGGGATTCAAATTTTTTAACAACCGGTTCTGTGGGCGTGGCTTAGTTGGTGGACGTGGCTTGGTGCTCATGTTATTGGCTGGGTGTGGCCAACTCAACATCACTCACATCGAGGCATGTATCTCCTCGCCTGGCCTCTCATGACTGTGGGGATGCTGCAATAGTCGTAAGTGTGAAAAATGGTCGTAAGTCATGTTCTTCAGTGCCATTGTAACTTTGAATAGTCACTCCACAAAAGCAAAGTACCAGCAAAGGAGGCAAAAAAACTCTAGAGATGTTCCTGAGACAGGAAGTCTAGTCCTGCCAAGAATGCAAAAAGGGTTAACAGAGAGGCAGTTTCTGTAAGCAACACCAGAATTTTTCCTTCCTGCCTTCCTTACAGGATTAGAGCAGTAATTTCTTCTAACAACTGGTTCTCCGAACTGCTTAGAATGTTAACAACCGGTTCTAGCGAATAGGTGCAAACTGGTAGAATCCCACGCCTTCCTTCAAGTACTGGAGAATGGCTGCCATGCCTCCCCTGGGTCTTCTTTTCATTAACATACCTAGTTCCCATAGCCGTTCATCATCCGATGTCTCCTATCTCCTTCTCTTCTCCAGGCAATGGAAGAGCTGAAGATGTCTGGATCCATTGCGTCCTACGACCAACTGGTGAAGCAGGTGGAGGCGTTGAAGAAAGAGAACACACACCTCCGTCAGGAGTTGGAAGACAACTCCAACCATCTCTCCAAGTTAGAAAATGAGACTTCTGATATGAAGGTAGGGAGACCATCTTTTTTCCAACACTGAAAACACTGGGCTTTCTTTTCTACGAGGGCTATCCACAAAATAGATTACGTTTTCGTCTGTAGCAAGAAGGGGCGGAGCTAGCGTGGCCATCTTTGGACTGTGCGTCCGCCGCTCAGTCTGCATCTAGTCGTGCTAGTGGGAGGTTCGTATCATTGCCCGTTATTTCACAGCACACGTTTGAAACGTGTGCTGCAATTGAAAATCCCGCGAGTTGTGAGATGAGATCAGTGATAAGGTTTTTGTTGGCAAAAAACCATAAACCTATTGAAATTTTTCGGCAACTGTGTGAAGTGTACGGGGGCAACATCATCACTGAAGGTGGAGTGCGCCAATGG